CGCCACAGAGGAATGAACCACCAACTATTCCAGCAGGTTTTACACAGAGGATGTCCTTCCAGCTGCAATCCAGTAGCGGGAAACACCCATACACTCACATTCAAACACACACTCATACACTACAGCCAATTTAGTTCATCAATTCCCCTATAGCGCATGTGTATGGACTTGTGGGGGAAACCGGGGCGACAAGAAACCCATGCCAACACAGGGAGAACATGCAAACTCCACACAGAAATGCCAACTGGCCAAGACGGGACTCAAACAAGCGATCTTCTATCTGTGAGGCGACAGTGCTAACCACTAAGCCACCGCCACACCACCAATCCATCCACTAGTGTCTAACCATCAACTAGTCGAATGCTTTACTACAGAAGGAGGACTATAAACCATAAAAACATAGAGGTTTGTAATTAACTGACTTCTTAAAGGTGTTTGCCAAGCATCTCTGTAAAAGTGTGCAGAGTCAACAAACAGCCTCCGCACCTTCTGACCAGTGAATTTCCATGACCTTCACAGCCATTCATGGGTGGTGGATATAGAGGATTTCTCTATTTACAGTTTCTCTGCAGACCACCGGTCAGACGTTTTAAAAGAGTACGACCATTAATGTTTTTAAAGATCACCAAGCCTGCATTTATTTGCATTCATTAAACTGTAAAATTGCTAAATGTTTTTACTGTTAAAAATTATTTTCTTTTTGAATATACACTCACCGGCCACTTTATTAGGTACTACTGTCCACCTGCTTGTTAAGCCAAATTTCTAATCAACCAATCACATGGCAGCAACTCAATGCATTTAGGCATGTAAACATGGTCAAGATGATCTGCTGCAGCTACAACCGAACATCAGAATGAGAGAAAAAAGGGATTTAAGTGACTTTTGAATGGTTGTTGTTGCCAGACGGGCTGGTCTGAGTATTTCAGAAACTGCTGATCTACTGGGATTTTCACGCACAACCATCTCTAGGGTTTAAAGAGAATGGTCTGAAAAAGAGGAAATATCCAGTGAGCGGCAGTTCTGTGGGCACAAATGCCTTGTTGATGGCAGAGGTCAGAGGAGAATGGCCAGACTGGTTCCAGCTGACAGAAAGGCGACAGTAACTCAAATAAGCTACAACCGAGGTCTGCAGAAGAGCATCTCTGAACACACAATGTCAAAGCGCGAATCATCTCAGACTGGTTTCTTGAACATGACAATGAGTTCACTGTACTCAAATGGCCTCCACAGTCACCAGAGCTCAATCCAATAGAGCACTTGTGGGATGTGGATGGAACGGGAGATTAGCATTATGGATGTGCAGCCGACAAATCTGCAGCAAATTCATGATGCTATCATGTTAATATGGAGCAAAATCTCTGAGGAATATTTCCAGTAGCTTGTTGAATCTATGCCACAGGTGTCAAACTCAGTTCCAAAAGGGCCGCAGCTCTGCACAGTTTAGTTCCAACCCTAATTAAACACACCGTATCAAACTAATTGAGTCCTTCAGGCTTGTTTGAAACCTACAGGTAGGTGTGTTGGAGCAGGGTTGGAACTAAACTGTGCAGGGCTTCGGCCCTCCTGGAATTGAGTTTGACACCCCTGATCTATGCCATTAAGGATTAAGGCAGTTCTAAAGGGAAAAGGGGGTCCAAACAGGTACTAGTAAGGTGTACCTAATAAAGTGGCCAGCGAGTGTAATTATTCATACAATGAAGTGGGACAGCACGATATTGAAAAAATATGACAATGCGGTATGGAGTTTTTCTGCAATATGTATTGTAGTCTAAATATAATTTCACCAGATAGCTTGAATAGCTCTAATTGGAAAGAATTTATTCATTTAGACTGATTTTGGATTATTGAGGGTGTGAATCATGCATAAAATATAAACAATTTTAAAGCATAGATAAATACAATAAAGCAAAGCAAAGAATAAAATTTACAATGCTTTAAGGGGAATCAAGCAGTATTCAGATACAGAAATTGACTTGTATGTAAAAAGACACTGTTTAATCTAAATGGTATGTAGTTATATATAATAAATATTTATTAAACTAAGAAAAGGTCAAATTTCTTGTGTCTGACTGCAAAGTCACAAGTTTTAAAAACACATGCAAACAATAAACGTTTCACTTGGTTAAACTCCACAAATCTTTTGCTTGCAAAATTATGGCTAATAATTATTATGCTCAAATATAACCCCAACACATGAACTCAGCATTGCATATCCTGCGATGTGACTACTGCAGACACGCTTATTGCGATATCCATGCTGAAACTATATATTGTGTAGTCCCACAATGAAGAGTATGCAGTGATCATTTATATTGGATTACAGAGTTTCTGCACCTCAATACTGTTAGACTCAACCAAAAAACCATGAAGCCATATTTATATCGGTGAGACCAGGTCTCATTGGAAGAAGAGACAGTACTGTCTCAATGTGATCTCCTGGCTAAATAAAGGAAATAATATCATTTATCTTCATTCTACTGTTTTCATATGTGCCTTA